CAAAAGCTTGAACTAAGTAGGGGACATGGGTAGCCTGAAATTTTGACACTATAATAAGGACTGGTCCTAGCCAGGAATGTTTGGGGAGCTATTGTCCTTTGGAATCTATGGCCGGAGTCACCAGATTGAAAGACTTGCCCAAGGATGCATTATGCAAAAAGATTTATCTACTCTCCAAAACCTATGGTCATTAGGAGAGTGTCAGCCCCTCCTTGCTGTGGGCTAGCACCAAAACAGAGAGAAGTTGCAGTTGGTTTTCTGTGGGGAAAAGCTGGCAAATACGTAGACCGGAATGCCATATCTTTGTACATTGTTCGCAGGATTCATTAGAAAACATAGAAAGTCACAAAATTTGGCAGTTTCAGGGTATGCTGGTCTGCCTAGGACTGTCCCCAGGTTGTTATATTTGATTAGCTAGCCATGGTTCGATGTGCTGTTTAGTGTGACTGAAGAACTTTGGTTGTCCTAGAGAAGTGGTTCTGAACCTTCCTAATACTCAAGCCCTGTAATACTGTTCATCATGTCATGGTGACACCCACCAGGAAAGGTTTTCCTTGCTATTTCATAAATGTAATTTTTGCTATTGTTATGAATCATCATGTGAATATCTGCTCTCTAGGAAGTTCTTAATCGACTAGTTGGAAGGCATCATTGCAAACACAAAGGGGTCACAGCCCACAGGTTGACAAGCAATGAGCTAGAGGATATGTGTCACTGGGGGAGGCTTTGAGAATTTGCAGCCTTCACCTGCTTCCTCTTTCCTCTGGGCTTCTTGTTTGTACTGGAGAGGCCAGCTCTTTCCTTCCTTCTACTGACTGCAGAACTGTAGTTTGCCACTATGCCTTTCTGCCAAGAGGGACTCTTGTGCATTTGCAACACTAAGCCCAAATAAACACTTTCTTATAGTCATGGTATTTTACCACAGCTGGAGAAAAGGCACTTAAACGGAGTGAGAACAATTGGATACAAATCTGCCAAAGTTGGAGCCCATTTCCAAACTTAATTATTAATGTGAAGTCTCATATGACACAATATATAGCAAAAAATATATTATACACATACATACGATACACCATGAATATGAGTTTAAAAGGCTACTGCAAAGCTCAAGGTTTCAAAAGAAGAGTGAGAAAGATTCCATATGAAAAAGAGCCACAGATGTGTTAGAGGGCCAGGAGGGAGCTGTTGGTAGAGACAGCTGGTGGTGCTGCCATGCTCAGACCAAGAGCAATGCTGAGGAATTAGGCCATGAGTCAAAGGGCAAGAGCTGCAGGGCAGATAAAGGGCAGGACAGCTGATGAGGGGGCAGGGCCTGCAGTAGAGCAGGCTGCATCAAGGGAGGGGACTAAGGCTGGTCACAGAGTCCTCAGACCTTGACAGAAACATCAGGTGTCAGATGACAGGTCAGGGTGGGGCTG